TTAGTTGGGTTAGGCTAAAATAAATTGTTCTTGTTATAATAGGTTAGGTAAGTTTTCTAAGATTCTTTTGGTGCAAAATTAAAAATTTTTTACATTAACATTAATGAAAAAAATATATCTTTAAACGTATAAGAGAAAATTTTAGAAAGGACTTAATTTTAAATGAGTTCTTGCTAATTGACCAGTTTTACATATTCGGCACGACATTATATATATATATATATATATATATATATAATATATATATATATATATATATATATATATATATGTATGTATGTATGTATGTATGTATGTATGTATGTATGTGTGTGTGGGGGGGTGCTCAATGTGATTGCAGGGTCGAGGCACAGCTACTGACCCCTCCTCGTTAATGGTCGCTAATAGGTACACACTCTCCCTGCTCCATGAGCGTTATCATACCTGTTCTTAAAGCTATATATGGATCCTTCCTCCACTGCATCACTCTCCAGACCATTGTGTGTGTGTATGTGTATGTGCGTGGTGTGTTTGTGTGTTGGGTAAGTCTTCACTTCCTTATTTGGTCTTTTGCCCCTTTTATTCATTCTCATTATCTGTATATCATGACGGTTGGGAAAAGATCCAAAAAAAATTTCCTCACCCCTTCCCATCTTTGTCATTGATCCCTTTCCCTTCGTTCAAAATTAAACGGGGCTCGATTTACCTTGGGGGTAGTTTATTCTTTACCTTGATACGACCTTCTTATTAGGTAGTTATGCCTGGTATCTCTGCTCTATTCTCAAATTTCTTACATGATTAGGCTATATTTCGTGATGGTGATACGTTGCTGTGCACGTCGAAGCAATTCCATTTCCAGAGCCATCTAATGTGTCTTAAAAAATAATACTTATTATAATCATAAAGAATCACTAAACTTTAGCGTAGAGCTGATACCAAAAATTGGAAATAGTCGGTAATATTTAATAGGGAAGCGCTAAAGTCGTCCACATTTACTACAGTTATTTAGATTCTTAGTTTTGGCTACTTTCCCGTCATGTTCTTCTCTCTTGTTTGCTAGTTTTCTGCCCTCATTCTCTCTACTCTCGTACTGTTTTAAGTTATTCTATAGCATAAAATAAAATATAAAAAAATAATAATAATAAAATTATGGAAAAGGGGTTTAAATTTCCCTTTGGTCAAAACCCTTCACCACCACCTCTCGCCGGCCCCATTTCTTATCAATTATTAAATTTCCCCAGTTGGGCTTTCACCCTCCGGGTATCTGAGCCCACATGTACCAAACCTCCCCCTCCCCCCCAAATCCCCCTGTATTTCGGACTTTTGTCCCAATACATGGGGGGGGGGGGGGGGTTTAGATACATGTGGGGTTTTTGGGGCCCCAAAAAAGATAAAAATCGCCATCGATTCTGATAACTTAAACATCTTAAAAGATGAATCCACTCTACGTATCAGCTTACGCTAGTGTCGGAAAACAGTTACTGCCACATACTCTATGCACAGGGTGGATCAGCGCTGTAAAGTGGGGGGTATATATGAGTGACACTTGGAATCTCAAAAGAATATTCCCCGCAGTTTTTCGACTAATCTTTGAACATCAAATGGTATACAATACCGACGGTTGTTTGGGGAAACACATATCAACAGTTAGACAACTTTTTTTCCGAAAAGTTTCGCCTAAACCGTAGGGTTTTGCCTACTTTTGTAGGCGAACGTTTCGGGAAAAAAGTTTTAACTGTTGTATGTGCTTTCCCAACAACTAATCTTTGCAATAGTAAACTTATTTTTTCCCGAATGTACGATCTTCTGATTAGTAAGGCCCGGCTCCAATTTTTTCCCGATACAGAAAATCTCCGGGAAAGCGAGAATTTTTTTTAAAACTTTTCTAGCTAGGTCTTGTATGACTCAGACTTTTTAGAATATATATTCATCTTCAGCCCAAACAGTTTAAATCGCCGTCCTAAGGAAAACAAGAATTGCCAATTTTAATCCTATGAAAGCAAACAATATATTTACGCTGTTTTAATCATTTTTTTTTCCCCTCAATAAAAACAATTATTATTTTTACAAAAATATCAATTTAGAAATTTAAATTTTACGACATTTTTCATATTTTTTTAAAACACGTATAAATAATGAAATTTTAAATTTTTACGAAAAACGTTGCTCGTCATGTTAATTATAACTGTCTTGGAAAAAACGATAAACTCATATGGACTACAACTTACAGAGAAAAAAAAAATAACAAATTTTTATTCAAGCAAGAAATTTTTCAAACTAGTCAACCAAGTGTGCTTCACCAACAAAAGACAGTCTTCTTTTAAACCCCCTTTCTTTCCTTGATGGATCCTAATAATGAAGTCCCTTTGGGGCAGCTCTACAAGAGGGAAAACACCTGGTAACACATCTTTAAATTTTCCGCAATATTAAAAAAAAAAGGGGGACGGTCGGAGTTTCCTCGCTTGGGAAACCTCTGACGTGGCGTCACGTGCGGGGGGTCCCTCAAATATTGGCTGGGGGGAGGAACAAAGTGATCAAAAAAGGGGAAATAGTTAAACGTGTAGTTGGTAAGGGATTTAAGGAAAAGTAAGGGAGGAATGGAATTGAAATAGTTAAAGGGAATGGAGAATCGAGTATACTGTTTCAAGATACGTGGGTAGCTTAAATAGTAATTCATAGCTTACCTATAAATTCGAGAAGATACTTAGACAACAGTTCTCTCCATTCCGGACCATTTTGAAAGCTCTGGTTAATGATTCAGAACGAATCGAAACATCAGTTCTCATCTCCCATTCATCGGTAACTTATGAACTGAACCAGCCACGGTACTGTAACGTGTATTTCTTAGTTGTAATGTTAACAGAAGGGCAATTAGGTAAAACAAAACGCTAAGGCACTCCACTAACGTCAAGCCAAAGTCACAACGGAGAGAACTACTACCGGAGCGGAGATGACATAAAATAAACTAAAAAGAGAATCAATGAAGTCTATAGATGTGATCTACAACATATGCGGGGCAATATTCAAAAAGAGTCAGTACATATCATGCCAACCCAGATGTAAATGGATGCAAAATGAACGGTGAGAGTATGTGGGGAGAACTAGGAGTCTCGCAGCACGGGGAAGGCAAGTACGAATCCGTGCCTTGGCAAGATGGAGAGCACATTTTTGTAGTATTACTACTTAAGTTGGAAAATTGACTTGAGTACTGGACGCTAAAGTTGATATCGAATAGGAAGGATGTTAAAAGAACAAGACACACTAGTAGAAGATATGAAGAAACGGGAGTTGAAGAATTTGACTCGTCGAGACCTCCTTGTTGGATTGCCGCCTCGTGTTCCCCTGTAAATAGAAAATATTTTACTATATTGTTTGAAATTCAGCTATTTCTAACTCATCCTAATATTATTTTAGCTTTAGAACACCACCTGGAAGAAGAGCTTAGCCTTGCCCCTTAACCCTTACCCATAGCTTTCTTAGCTTTATCACTTAGATTAGTCGTAGCCTTGTCCGATAACTGTCGCATATTTTACTTCCGTCTTAAGGCACGTGATACTGAGAATGTGTGTCACTTGTTAATTAACATTACTTTCCACAAGTGACGAAATAGAGCGAAATATTTACATAGTACCTGATAAACCACCTTGATAAACAAAAGAAAAATGGCTTCGTAACACAAGTGATAAATGAAACACTTATGAAACATTTAGATATCTTTGTGTAAAAGTTTCGCCAGCCAGTGGCTTCATCAGTCTAATAGAGAAAAGAACGGTGGAGAATGAGAGGGAGTTTGAGGTAATCGGTTCCTAAGATCCTTCACCGCTCATATGACTGTTGTTTTGAACACATTATCTCCAGATTGAGGGACTGATTACCTCGAACTACTACTACTATTTCACCGTTTTTTGTCTGTACTGGACTGATGAAGCCACTGGCTGGCGAAACTTTTACACAAAAATTTCTAAATGTTTCATAAGTGTTTCATTTATCACTTGTGCTACGAAGCCATTTTTCTTTTGTTTATCAAGGTGGTTTATCAGGTACTATGTAAATATTTCGGTCCATTTCGTCACTTGTGGAAAGTAATGTTAAATAACAAGTGTTTATTAACAAGTGTCTCATTTACTAATTCATCGATTTTGTACACTATTTAAAAACTGCACCACTGAGCATAGAAACTCATTTCTACTTTATAAAGTAACTTATATTTCCACATTTTTGAGATGTTACGTGCACTAGATTAGAAGATTCTAAAGAGAATATGAAATTAGATACAAAATTATTTAGACAGGAGTTCAGTGAACTCAAGCTTTTCATATATATCTCAAGTAATGAGACTCGTCTCTCTTTTTTCAGTAATAATCTAACTAGTTGATAAAGAGAAATTATAGATTATCTATGCCTAGCTGGAAATCAGCATATGTTGTTTATATCAATATATTTATTATAGATAAATATCAGTATAATTATTATCAATTAACATTGAGCTTTTCTAGACAACTGTTAGTGTTATCATATCATCGACACCATGCCCAGCCCTTCTAGGGTAGGGTAGGTGCCTGAGCCCGAGCCTTTAGCTCATAAGACTGTCATTCCCATTAGCCCCCTTGTGGCGGGGATGGCAGACCAGAGAGGCCTAGCTTGTGGCTAGGCCTAGGGACAGTTGGTTCCAAAGATGAGGAGGTACTTGTGCCTCCTCTCATGGGAGACTTAGGTCTCAGACACTCCCTAAAGAGGGAGCCAAGGCCGGGCCACCACTTGGAAAAGGCCCGGGCCGGGAGAATACCGGCGAATCTTTAATAATAATAATAATATCATAATAAAGGTATACAATACTGACACTTTATATATACACCGAGAGGAATATTTCTCTCAGTAAATACTGAAAGTTTGCTTTAATTGCTTTATGGTTTAAAGTCTTGTCAGGGGGTAAAAAGCTTACGTGCAGCCTTAATGACTAGTTGATAACCTATAATTTCCATTAACCTACAAACCAGTACTGACAGATACAGAATATATACCCTGAGTGGTATATTTTTCTCAGCGGATATGTACAGACAGATTACCGTAATCCCTATTTTAGGGATTAACGGGCACATAAGTACCCTTGTCTTCTAATAACATTCATTTTTCCCACTATAATCTACCTTGTCCATAATTACTATCGCATTTTCTTAGACTGTTTCGTAAGGTGAAGTCCAGGATCGTTACTTAATTCATGGTATAACTTAAATCATTGAGAATAATTGTGTTGCAGAAGTCTGAGCTTTGCTCAGATCTCTGCAACACAATTGTCCTCAAAGATTTGTTAGATTAAACTAAGAATTAAGGAAAGATCCTGGGCTTCATCTTACGAAACAGACAAAGCAAATGCAATAGTAATTATGGACAAGGTAGATTATAGTGGAAAAATGAATGTTATTAGAAGACGGGGGTACTTGTGTGTCTCTTAAAGTATTCTTGTCTGGTTAGGGTATAGGTTACGTGCATCCTCAATGACCCTGAAATAGTTGCCAGGATTTGAACCCCTTTAGCCAACTAACTAATACTGATAAGTAGATGAGTAAGAAACATATGTAACAGATTTCTTACTTTCCGATACGTTTCGCTTCATTTGAATATTGACGTAATTAAATACGGAAACAGCAGAAGCAGTGGACAGGTAATGACGATGAAATCAGTCGATTAGTGGTAGTAGCTTTGAGGTGGTCAGTCCCTTAGTCTTGAGAGGCATTAATTTCATATTCTTGTCCAGTGTTAGACTGAAGTATGGCAATGGAGCCGTTTCTTCGTCATCTTCATTTTCCGCGCCTCACCTCTGGCAGTATAAAAGGCTCCATACTAATGATTCAGCTACATATTCTTCAGACTATCGAGCTGATCGTCTCAAAACGTCTTTGTCAAGGCTGTTGGACTTATCACATTATATTTACCTCGTCACTGCTTCTGATTTTTTTATTCGACTGAAGAAACCTACTATCTGGGCGAAACGTTCCGAAAATACAGATAAACTGTTGTACATGTGTCTTACACGTTTACAGTTATTTACTAAGATAGTGACGGGAAGCACTCGCTACTCTTCTCTACAGGTACAAACACGCTGATGGATAGTAAATTACCATACAGCAAAAGTACCATTACTTTAATATTTAGTATTTACCCATCAGTGCAAGTACTTGAGTGCATATACTAACAGTGGTGGTGGACAGTACTCACCCTTCTGTACATGTACTAGCACGGTAGCGGGGTGGGAGCCTTGAGGTACACAAGAGTACATGCCAGAGTCTCCGGGTCCGACTGAGGACACCACCAACCTGGTCGTCGTCTCCCCACGACCACGGTCAATCTGTCGATGACAAGAACATTGTGTACATTCTGAGTACTGGCCTAGTAGCTTCTGTGTGCGTGCGTGTGTGTGTGTGTGTGTGTGTGTGTGTGTGTGTGTGTGTGTGTGTGTGTGTGTGTGTGTGTGTGTGTGTGTGTAAACTATTATAACAAAAAATACGCTATACTATATGAATGACGATGCAACAATGTTATGAAGGAAGGGGTGTACTGTGTATAGACTGGGTTAGATGAATTGAAGGTTTGGGAGACTGCGAAATAGAAATCAGCTGATGCAACAGAGTACGTTCAGTGAAGAAATATTAGAACGAGGAGGCATTGAAATTGGAACTTTCGAAGAGGGCAGTCAGACAGTGAATTAAAAATTAAACCTGATAATCTTTGCAGAGGGCACTGTGTATACGTCCACGAGGTGTCCACATAAAAGTCTTGTGTTAGAATAAACACCGCTTCTCTTAATAACATTAATCTAAAGAGGTACTTTTGGATATGCAATAAAGATAGGGGACTTGGAACACGATCCAGGAAAGTACTAAAGGGGCCTCTCTTAGTACAGAAAAGAGGAGCCATCCAACTTCAGCGGCGGCCACAGCAAAACTGAAATGCGAAAGAGTAGCAAACTTAAGTAATAGTCAAAATGCCATTATGACAGCAGATGATTCGGAAACAGACCCACTGGAGAAAAATACATCAAGCCGAAATATCACCCCACGCAGCCTCCAGTCCTAGTACTGACTCAGCTACAAGTAACTCGAATATAAAAGACTACATTATTATATACTCGCCTAGACTCTTCCACAGGCCACCATTACAGATTTAATAGCGCAGGAGTTTGCTTCTGGGGATGGTGTTCGTACAGATCTAGTAGTAGCTGGTGGTGATTATTCTAGTGCTGTTGCTGAAGATAGTTTTAGTGCAGCTCTAGAAACTGCAACAAATGAACAAACTCTAGCCAGTTGAAGTCAGAATTGTGCAAATTCAATGCTTAAGGTATCTGGAATATCTGGAAAACTAAAGGACGTGCAATTTTGAAAAAAAAAAAACCGCCGCGACCTACTCGTTCTGCCTCCTGTAAACTTTTTCACTCCGAAATGTGCCATACATCACTCCTCGAAAAACTATGCTACAACACAAACTGCCCTGCATACCATTTGAAAGGGACAAGGATGTACAGACCCATATAAACCTTGGAAAACTAACTGTATTAGTTATAATCGTTTAATAACAAGAGATTTCTAGTACCAGGAAACGTAATAAATAGAAAGAAATGACAAAAATATTCCACCACCTCAGTCTTGTTGGATTGGAGGCACAGATATTGCGCTTATTTATTGGTAAGCTGAAGGGTATCTAGAACTCTTTTATAACCATAGCTACCCCATGCAGCTCGTTTCAAAGGAACAACTCAAGAATAATCAGATAACCAAGGGACACATTTTGTTTATAGTTACCAAAGGTTCTGGGAATGGCAAGCATGACAGAGGTAATGAATGTGATGAGTTGCAACAACTCGTTTGTTAAGGAAGAATCAGAAAGAATAACAGAAAAAGAAGCACAGCATTCATAATGTGCCCAAACTACATATTCGAATCCTACCAGGATCAGTGGGGCGGAGTCTCGATCGAAAGTAATGAGATTACGGAATTGATCGCTATACAAGAAAGGCAAATAGAAAGCTCTGTTTAAGAGAGACTGAGTACGGGTTCTGGGACGTAGAATAGTTTAAACCACCGGTATTCAAGACATGGAGAGGAAGATACGAAAGAAAAAGTCTCGTGACTAGTGTCGAAATGAATCGCAGTAGGAGCATAATATAAGAAAGGAGGAACACTGCAGCATGTCTACTGGCCCATACTTGTCAAACCCAAAACCACTAAAAAATATTCTGCCAACCCATTATCAATGTTACCCAAGGATTATATAAGCCTTAATAACCCTTTTAACTCAAGTGCAAGTGTAGCAGACCATGTGCCACTTGTCTATACAGACATAAGGTGTAATGAAGTGAGATACAAACGGAAATTAAAATTCTCAGAATGTAATAACCCACGACAAGTGAACTTTCATTGTACGCTCAACGAGAAATAAGTCAACAGGTTGCCAGAAATTGAATTATCGACTTATTACATATTTTATGTGTTTGAATACAAAAACAGATGAACACTGGCAGATCAATTGTCCCTTTCTCCTAGAATAATCCACTGTAATATTGCCAGTATTGTAGATGGATGGTTCAGAGAACCGACATGTTGATAAATTAGACACATGTGCAACTCTTGGGTATCTTTATTGAGGAAACGTTTCGCCACACAGTGGCTTCATCAGTCCATACGTAGGAGAAACTTGAAGAACAGGAGGAGAATGAGGTAATCAGTCCCTCAACCTTGAGTCGATGTGTTCAGTCCATCAGTCTTGAGTAGCACATGTGTCTAATTTATCAACATGTCGGTTCTCTGAACCATTCATCTACAAACCTGTCAGACACTGCAACTTCTTGGGATCTTAATACTTAGGAATTCTTCGCTTGCCTAATTCTTGGGCACGACCTACTTCCACATTGAACAAATGTGACACCACCTATGACTGCTGCACCTCTCCTGCCATACGGTTTATAAGCTGCTTCTCCGCTCATATGCCGTATTCTACTCAAGACTGATGGACTGAACACATCGACTCAAGGTTGAGGGACTGATTACCTCATTCTCCTCCTGTTCTTCAAGTTTCTCCTACGTATGGACTGATGAAGCCACTGTGTGGCGAAACGTTTCCTCAATAAAGATACCCAAGAGTTGCACATGTGTCTAATTTATCATTGCCAGTATTATTCGATATTGGTCACGGTAATCGGTAAAGTCAAAGTGTGGTAGCTAATCTGAGCGGCAGAAGAGACTTCGTATTAATAAGGAATTTTTTGATAGATTGTTTAATACCTCTAAAAGGGAAACAAGCAGGATGAGAACTAAAATTCTGAAGCTGCGATGCTTATGACGTCAATGTAATTTTTAGCCAACGTAGTACGGAACGTTCGTATGCTTAAATCTGGATGGAAATCTTGTTGATTTTCCCCCATTGAAAACAGAATTTATGAATGCACATTTCTCGACATGTTCTGTCGATAAACTCAGACATGGCTTCTGTTGTTCGTGGAATCAGTGAAATTGTAGGATCTCTCCTTGTGATGGAAACTTGTAGCTAATATAGGTGATGACGCTGCCCCTGGAGGAACCTTCTAATTCTAAAACTGCAATAAAGACACACATGTCTACTTTATGGAAAGAGAGGACCATAGTATTGCTGGTACTGGAGTGAAGATACACAAGGTTACGTAAGATTTGCCAGGAAACAGGATTATTTCATGACGCGGGACTTAGTCATAAAATGACTGTCTACTAGAGCTTTTGGTCATTTGACCGGGGCCTTCACCTGATTTACCGGTCCACCATTTTAAAAATTAAGGTTATAATTGTAACCATTTCTGATAGTCAATATTCACAAGTACCCACCTTGAGGTTGACGCCACCCCTGGGAGAGTTGTAGTCGATGAGGCTGGTGTCGTGGTACCAGTAGACCAGGGCTGAGGGGCCCCGTAGTGACGTCACCAGACAGGTGAGGCTGAGGGAGGAGCCCTCCTCGATATATAGTTCTCGTGGTCCCTGGATCTCCACTCGCAGGTTACCTGAGGAAAGTAGACGGTATTAGAGGTTATTTGCGCCTGGTAATCGAAGGTAGTTGGTACTATAGGAGATCTGGTCTAAGATCGGGCCACAGGGGCGATGTCTTCTCCAAACACGAACAGACAAAAGGAAAAGAGCTTGGTGGATTAGAAAAAATACAGTAATAACACGTTATATTGATCATGTAAAACGGGAAAGTAAGGGAACCAACGGCGTATTATTTGTCTGTGCTAGAGAGCAGCTCCTGATTCTTGGATTCAGAGCATTTTCTCATTCATTGGATCAAGTCTGCTTATCTCCATTTTTCAGTTACTTTATGATCCCTCTGGGCCTAACATAATATTCATAATACAATGAAAAGGCCTCATCTGAACCATATTAACCGGCAAGAAGTGGTGGAGGCTTCAGCCTCCGTCCCCTAAACACGAGACAGACACAGTAACTTGACTCACGAAATCGTAATGACACGATTGCAAACAAACCATAACACGGGCGGGATTTGAACCCGCGGTCATTACGATTTCGCGAGTCATGTTGACGGCAGTGAGGGGACTTGAGCTAGAGTTCGTCACGGCCACGCTAGCTGGAGATTCGTCTGTAAAAACTTGCATTTGTGGTCACAGTGGTGTCTATGCTAACCTTCCTATGGTGTAGAAATATACCTAGTTGGACGAATCTTATTGTGGCTAGCTGGTCCAGTGGCTAACGCGACGGTCTGGAGTTTTGAGACTCTCTGATCGCGGGTTCAAATCCCGCCCGTGGAATGGTTTTTTTCAGACACAGTAATATCGCAGTCTAATAGAAAGCAAATACAATTCAGAATGGCATTTAAGATCAGCAGAACTCTTGTTGAACGAGATATGAGGTACCTTTGTTACCTACATAATCTTCGGATATATTAATACAGAAGTGTGTAAAATATTATTTCTGGTTAACAGAAAAATAAGCACGCACGCGCGCGCGCACACGCACACCTCAAACAAAAGATATGTCAAAATCACTAAATGTAAAAGAAAGATTTAACTGTAAGTGAAAATATCTAAGTTAATGCTGTACAAACATTAGTTTTAATAAGAAAAACTGTAAACACTTCTAAATTACTAAGAGAAACTAATGACTGAAAAAGAGAAACTTTTTTTGGTTGCGCACAGAAGGAGATATAATAAAAATACAACAAATCAGAGGCCGAAACACAAATGAAATAAGAATTGGACACAAATGGAACACCTGAGTATTTTTACTTGATACTCAGGTGTTGCGTATTTCCTCATCTCTTGGGTAATGTATATTAATACAGTTATGATGCAAATTAACAAAAATGTATATTGGGTTTAAGCTTTCACTTGTACATAGTGAGATATAGGAAGACTGAAATATGAAAAACAAGGTATCACTAAGAATAATAATTATGCATATAAAACTTGAAGAATTTTTAATAAGAACTAGAAGGCAAATTAGAAGGCTATAAAGATATTAGAATTACACAAGACTTTTCCTAGGAGTATCGAGGTTTCATGAACACTGCTAAGAAATTAAGTCATGATAGTAATTAAAATATTTACACATGAGTTTTTCTATGGTAGTCCCCTGTTACTGTCTAAAAGTCTTATTTATATTTCAAGAAATTAATAGGGCCAAACCATAATGAGATAAACACCTCTGTAATTAAGAAAAAACACTAGAACTAATAGAAGTTGTAAATGAAAAGAAACCAGATACAATCTAACTGAAACTAAACATGAAACATATTTTAAATAAGAATTATTTTCGACAGAAACTACCCACCCGAGGAGAAAAAGACAAAATTTGGGAAAACCCGTCTGGCATAATGGTAAAAATACAAAATTTTTCCCTTTTTTTTTTTTGGGGATAAATATCAAACAAAACCTTTAAAAATTTTTTTTATTTTTTTTTTTTATCACAACCCGGCCCATTCCCGCCAAAAGGGAGGGTGGCCCGGGAAAAAAAAAAAACCCCTTTCCCCCCCCCATCATTCACTTTCCCTCACTTCTTTCCAAAGGGGGCTTTCACTACGTTTTTAAACTGCAACAAATTTAAAACCCCCCCTTCAGAGTGCAGGCACTGTACCCATTTTTATTTAAATATATTTTTTTATATAAATTTATATATATAAATTTTAATTTAAAAAATATAATATAAAAAATTTAAAATTTTAAATAAATATTTATATTTTAAATAATATATATTTTTTAAAAAAGAAAAATTTTATATATATATAAATATATATAAAATAAATTTTTAAAAATATTATATAAATATTAAAATATAAAAATTTTAAATATAAATATTTTAAATATATAAAAATAAATATTTTATATATTATATAAATAATTTAAATATATATATTTTAAAAATATATAAATATAAATTTTTATATATTTTAAAATTTTATTATAAATATAAAATTAAATATTATATCATATTAAAATATAATTTTTATATAAAAAATATTATATAAAAATTATATATTATAAATAAAATATTATATTAAAATATATATAAAAAATATATATATTTTATTTTAAAAATATATAAAATAATTTTTTATATTTTAAAAATTTTATATACCCCTTTTTAAATAATTTTTGAGAGCGGGAGGGGGTTTTTTAATGGGAAGGTTTTTGGTTTTTTAAATATAACCCCAAAAAAAAATTACTTGAAGAGGGCCCCCCTGAAAAAAAAAAAAAAAGTTTTTGGGCCGCCCATTTACCCGTTTCCTAGGAGAATGAAAATTACGAAAGACATTTTGGCTGATTTTTGGGTTTAAATTTAAAAGTGGTACGAAAACCCCGAAGGGAAAGGGGGGGGGAGGCGGGGCCCCCAAATAGAAAGAAAAGGGAATTTGTATGTAATGTTTTTAAAAATGTACTGTTTCCCAGTCACGGTACTGTGCCGGGTTTTTTAAACCTTAAGTTATTTTTAATTCTTTGACTTAATTTTTGAAGGGAATGAACTGAGTAGCTTTGAGAATAAGCTTTAAAATTTTCTGGGTTAATAAAAATTTTTTAAGGTGCCTTTTATAAATTTTTTTTGTGTAAAGGGGGGAAGGGGGAAAACAATTTTTCTGTCTATATTAAACCCCAAATAATTTTGGCAAAACAAAGCAAGGGAAAAAAATTTACACTCTGAAATCCTCATGGGAAAAAAAGTCCAATTTTTATATTTGGGAAAAACATTCGCCCCTTAAATGTGATTTAGAAGATGGAAAAGAAATTTACATTGCAGAAAAAGGGCCCAAAAATTTTGGGAAATAAGTATTTAGTACGCTAAGGAAAAAAAATGAGATTATATACAATGAATAGGTAAAAGAAATTTTTTTTAACGAAATTAGAAATTTTTAAAGGGAAAAAAGAAACAAAAAACCCTTTTTTCTGAAAATAAATTTTTAAAGCAAAAAAAAAAAAAAATGTGGGGGGGGCTTTGTTTAGGGAATTGTATCATGCTCCAGTTCCCTGAATTGAGTCTGAATGTCTTCCATCCTCCCCACATGCGCTGTATAATCCTACGGGTTTAGCGCTCCCCATGCTTATAATAATTACAATATTAAAGAGTACTTTAATGTTAGTGGCTGGAATGCTATGACACAGAACTTGAAAGTATTATAGTAAACAGGATTATAAGTAATTTTTATTTGCAAACAAAAATGAGAAAAATAATTTAAAATAAATTGAAAATAAGAGCAAGATACAACTATATCTCTTTCATAGTTCAAAACAGAATACAAAGACTGAAGGACAATGAAAGTTTGATAAATTAAACTCAAAATCTCAAGTGTTATTAAAGAAGTTATTTAAAAAGTGATGAATCTAAATCCCAGACAACTTAAAAGGAGAATATTGAAAAAAAAATAAAAAAGAAAGTAAATATTTCTTGACAATGACAAAAAAAAAGTGACCCAACAGATGGGACATCACAATGGATATTAAATAATGTGGGATTTATCTGCAAGAGCGTAAAATGACATCTAAAATGGTACACAATGTGCCAATATATAAAAAATGAGAGCTGAACCTCTATAATTCAATAAACTTATCTATTAGCTAGCCTGTAAATTCGTGCATAAAATAAAGTCAAGACACTATGATGAGTCATGATTATTGTTCATAAAAGAAATGAAAGGGCTAATTGACTTTATATAGACAAAGCTTTCGATGCATTTCCCACTGAAAGATTAATTATGGAACTATAAAATTTAGAAGGAATGAAAGGCAAACTATAACATTCGATAAGAGACTTTCTATTTGAGAAAGCTAAATAATGTGACAGATTCTGTTTTAACCTTCAAAAATACCTGTACTGTGATTGAATATAATAAATTAGCATAGGCTTGCATTTGAAATCACCCATTTCGTTTTGATCCCCTGAAACTAGCTACACTGTTTTCCTTGCTTATGTTTTGAGAACAGTTATAAGACGAAAACTGACTTTTGGGTGAGAAACGTATGACAGGAATGTACTGCGATCATACACAAGACGGTCATATGGACTCTACACAAGATGCTTATGAGATAAAATTCACACGAGCTCCAGTACACAATGACTCACCACCAGATATGTGAAAGGATATGAAAATAATATAAGAACTCTTAGAAACGATAAGAGAAAATAGCCAGGCAGCTAACAGCATAGTAACACTGACCAATTAACAAGACACAACACACACACACAGAGGAAACCCTCCTCTAAAGAACAATTTCCAGAAATTTCTAAGACTAGCTTGAATGAACGATAATTACCGAAGCATCGTGCATTCATATATAATAAAAGAAAGAAAAGTGACACTCAGAAGTGACACAGGTGAGAAGGTCATGCCTCCTAGTGGGCTCAACCAAGAGGGAAAATTTCAGGAAATCCTAAAACGCAGTTTGCATCTTGTGAACCACCTGGCCAGTTGTCACAATGTCATCTCCATCAACAAAATAAACTAGGCAAAATATACTAGGTAGATCCTACACACACAACCCAATATCATATTACCATT